CCCGGTAAACCGTAGGCAGAGAGGGAGAAGAGGACAACAAACGAGGGGCTGTGACAAACTGTATATATATATATCGTCACAAATAGAACTGCCCGGTAAACCGTAGGCAGAGAGACAGAAGAGGACAACAAACGAGGGGCTGTGACAAACTGTTTCGTCGGAGTTTCACCGACTCTATATTTTTGTGGCCCAGCCGGGCAAGTGGTCCCGGGCCACTCTGGTAGCCTAGGGTAACACACCAGTATACAGCGGTGAGTGGTAACATTTTAGTCATGACTGAGAGGAACTTTAGCAGACAAAGGGTATCTGACAGCAAATCCGCCGACACAGGAGCAATCATTGCTGTTCGCAGTGTTCGGTTCCTTCGGCTGTACTGAAAGAAGATTGGTGTGGGTCATACTACGCATCATTGAACTTGCTGGTGGATTGGCATGCTCCCCAGAATGGATAAGGATCCAGGGTCATAAGGGCCCGTTTAATCAAAGAAATAAAAAAGGAGAGAACTATGACTCACTCAGTCTCACTGAATGATGATGTCTTTATCTCATCTAACGACCAATGCTGCATGGACTAGCGACATGGCGACTTATGGATGAGCAGCCTCATCCGGGAGTTGAGCAGGGGGGTGTCAAGTTGTAAACAATGGACAAATGAAGTAATGCAAGCAGGACAATCATGTCGGTGATGATAACATTGACAATGATGATGGTGACAATAATCATGATGGTCATGTTGCTGACTAGATTCACTAGAGTAATGGCTCTAATGAGAGTTTATGCTAAGGGTGGTTTAAGTGCATTCTAGGATTCTGCACCTGAGAGATGAGTGTGTGAATGTACAGTGTACACTTTAGTGACCAAGGAAAAATATTTTTATTATCATTTGAGATTCATTACCATTATTACGATGATGATGATGATGACGACAATGGCAGCGACGGCGACGGCGACGGTGATGACAATGACAACGACAACGACGGTGATGAGAGTTTAACATTACTGGAGGTTTAAGTGCTGAAGTTCATTCTAAAAGACTGCATTTGAGTGACAACGGAGACAAAATAAATGTTCTCTCTATTTTTATTCGTATTTTCTTTACCATCGGCATGATCTACCCGGCCCATGCGGGCAAGATTGCATACACAACATGTAGCCATTGATAAACAAAAAAGATAAATGGCCAGATAGAGAAAAGTCAGGAGGTGAGGGGAACAGGGGAGGGGCAGGAAGGGGTCGGGAGAGAAAGCAAAACATGGTTCATGAACTACAGCTCTACAGACAATGCAGAGGAATGGACATCAGACAAGGGATGACAGGGTGGTAGAGGTTGTCGGGGTTGCAGGGGACGGGGGAAAACAGCGAAACAAAGGGAACAACCATACCATATTTGAGGTATTGTGCAGAACATTCTAGATGTCTTCTGAGCACAGAGTATACAGGTCGCAACTCTTTCAAAACCTCCAGTCCTGACATGCTCCCCAACCCCAGCGATTGACGATTGGTCGATGAAGTTGCGGCCATCCAAGGGGCAGATGGCTTGGACGAGAGTAAACAGCTCTCCAATTTCTTCAAAAGGTCCTGAAGGAGGTACTGATGAAGAGGCATCTGGTTGGCAGAATTAGAAAAAAGTTCAAAAAACAGAACCAACCCGTTGAGGGAATACCCACAAACCACAGAGAAATCAGCTCACAACACTGCTAATTTAACAAGTTGCGCCCATCCATGAGTTGGCATTACCCACGTACTACGGTGTCCCCTAGTCAGAAACCAAGAGCGCTTTCACAGTAGGGGTGTTCGGGAAAAGGACAGCGGATGAAGTCAACTCTGGCCTAGTACTCAGTCGCTTCTAGTATCACTGTCGTTCAACCTTCCCTTCTACTATTTTTCCCTGAGTACGGATCCGGGCCGCCCGGCCGACCAGCGCCTGCCCGGGGGAGGTCCCGGGGGGCCTGGCCGGGCGGGCGGCCCGGTTGGGGGCCGGACACCCCCAGCACACCTTGTTGGGGGGGGGGTTCCGACCCCGAATAGCCGAGTTGTGGCATCCTCAGCGCCTACCGGGTCCGACCAGGCCCAAAAAACGGTGCGTTGGGCCCGTGAGGCCAGTTTGTTTTTTTGAATTTGTGACGGCCCTCCGGCCGTCGATCATCCATGATCGACGGCCAGAGGGCCGTTTGATTTTTGGAGGGAAAAACGAGGCCCCGTTTGAACAACCGACTGGCTGGGGCGGCCTGCATCGGCTGTCCAAACGGGGCCTTGGTTTTCCCCAGCCGCCTGCGTTCGAGGTTCAGCCGCCCTCGCTCCTCCTGCTGCCCATTGTCGCCATCGCCTGGGAGCTACACTTCCCCGTCGTCGTGGAGTCGCCCGTCGCCCGTCGCCAGCGTCGTGGAGTCGCCCGTCGGTCGTCCCCCTCTCACCATCTTCTTCTTCTTCTTCTTCTTCTTCTTCTTCTTCTTCTTCTTCTTCTTCTTCTTCTTCTTCTTCTTCTTCTTCTCTCCTCCTCCTCCTCTTCCCACTATCTTCTTTTTCTTTTTTTTTGTTGTTCCATTC